GAGTACTACTTTTGAGACTTGTAAATTTTTGTAAATGAAAAGCTTATCAACGAAAAGTTGCTTTTTATTTCAAATATTAATTATTTTTTGCTTTATTAGATATGTCACCCAATGGGAACACCGCCTTTGCAATGTGCAGACGACCAAATCTAAACCAATCATCTGCTCCAACAAGAGCAAGACATCCGATGACGCCCATCCGGGTGAATTCGTCGCAGAGAGCATATCCCATTTGGGTGGTACATTGCTCTATTAACTAAAAAAAAAACCGACCCAATTCATCAACCCAATAAGGGCCGACTTATAGCCGTTTGACCTGAATAATCTAAAAACGGAACCTATACTGCCTAAATAACTGCGTGCCCAACGCAAATGCACGCGATGTCCTTCCATTATTCCACCTTAGATTAAAATCAACACCGCTGCTAGCCGCCTTTTATTGCTCAGGGGCAATACAGATGGTTCAAAAGCAGATTCCCCTATTAGATAGTCCGTCTGCCCAATTGAGGTAGTGCTGATTCAAATAGAAATTGAATGCTAAGTCCAGAACTTAGCATGTAAAGTCATTCGGCAAATGTCGATTTGGATACGGTCAATGACCGCCTGCCGGCTGCTCAATGGATGACTGTTCGCTTGGTTTGGGGCAATCACCATAGTGATTGATTGACTTGGAAATTAGTCATATTCCTTTAAGTATCAAAAATTTCTAAGTCAATCAACCCACTTTTGAAATCAAGCGCACATCCGTCCAGGGGAAAAAACATCCGGTATACTGCATGTATAAGATAAAAAGGCTACGCACTTAGCAAAATTTATGCATAATAAAAATGCAAGGACAAAATTTTTATGTAGGAAAACCGACCTAATGGCCGATTGTTCATATTAAAATGCGACCCCATAATTGGTCAAAAGAAAGTGTTAACCGATTTTAAAATTGGTGAAGAAAAGTGAATTGTTAATCAAACCCGACTTCCCAGTCGGTAAAGATACATATATACTCGGCACGTAGGCCAGAAAAGCAATTGTCAGGCTATCCGGCCAAGGAAAGATTAAAACTTAATCTGCTTGAGGGGAGGGCTCATCTTCATTATCATTTGGCTACCCGTCTGCATTAGCCGGATGCTTCTCCTGATGCTCAAGCTCCTCATTCTCAGCCACATCCTCATCCTCGGACGCATCCTCCATTTCTTGCTGCAGTTGTTGCTCGTTAAGCGCATCGGTGGCTTCGTCAAAACGATACTCCGAGATAGAGTAGTCGTCCTAGCACATTCGGCCTCATTATGAGAGACCAACAACTTCTTTTCTTCCCGGCTGGTACTTCTTCGTGAGCTGCTCTTCCTGGTTGACGAGTTTCTTTTTCAGACTCTCGTTCTGGCGGCAGAGGTATCCCAGCTAACATCCCCAAGCTTCTCACACTTCAGTTTTCCCTCAGATACCCTCTCTGGGCCGCCTCTCGCAGGTTGGCCTCCGCAGGTGAATGCAGTATGTCCTAGGTCAGTGCGTCATTTTTTAAAATATCAAACATGGCCTTGTTAGTAGAAGAGACGACTTGGTCTTTGGCAGCCTTTACCTTTTTCCGTTTATCCTGGAATGGCTTCTTAAGCCCATTCACTCGCAGCACGGCCTGCATCCGGCAAAAGAAGGATCATCAATAAACAGACTGCATGAGAGGAGTTATAAATATTTTCTAACTTAAAAACAGGTTACCTCAGCAAGTAGGGCCAAAATGGCATCAAAGTTGAGGGTGCCAACCCCCCTCATAGACTCCCGTTCCTCAGCAGAGACGACCTTGAGCATATTCTTAGTAAACTGCTCTATATTCGGCCTCTGAACAACATCTTCACATTCAACACTTGGTGAGAAGTTGACATAAGCCCGGCGTAGACTGGGTGTGTTCACAGCTGCTGTGACTGGTGATTAGATTTTACCCTACTAGGGTAAGGTAATGGAATGAAGGCACTAATACCTGGGAGCTCAACCTCCGAGGACGCCTGTAGGCAAGTCCCCCTGCAGCTGTTGAGCCGACAGCAGTAGTGGGTGGCTTGCCACCCTTCGACGTTTTAGAGACGTCCGACATTTTTAGGGCTTCGACCAGTGGTGGGATGAGAATCTTCCCCTGGCTCCTTCTGCGCCACAGACTTCCTAGACTTGGAAGGCGTCCGGTCCTCCCCAACAAGCGGACGTTTTGGTGGCCTCTCCCCAAAGTTAGGGGGTACAGGCGGCTTGGTCGACCCCTCGAAAATTAAAGAATAATGTTAATGCAAGGCAAAATAGTATGCCACAGGAGTTTAAGTTTGTTAAAAACTTACATGCTCAATCTGGCTTTTTTGCCCGATCATCTGGCGGTAGGCGGCGGTGGCTGAGCTAGCAGATTTTTTGGTTGGAGAGAGCTGCTTCATTGCTTCTTCTGCAAAAAGGCCGGATGTCAATTAGGTTAAAAAAAAAAAAAGAGAGATACTTAAGCAAACAATATGCTGCCGGCTACCTTTGGATTTTTCTGCACTAAGGCCACAGGCGGCAAGATAAGTGCCGTCCCTCAACCACTCAAATCTAGGGATGTAACTATTGGGAACTATCTCCCTTTCATTCCTCCCTCAACGGTTCTAGTGGTGACCTTAAACAAACCAGGCGTCAATATTTAGTCCCAACCTTCCTCAGGCAGGAGGACAACTTTTTGCTTGGAGGTATGGGTTTTGGTTCCAAGAGTTGTACTTCCAGTTCCTTCGGGTGTCTGGGGAGGAGATAATGTAAAATTTATCCCGCCATTCCTTCCACTTTGATTCCTTGCCTAGGGTCATCATAAACCCCTTGTTGCAAGTCAGGGTGTACCATCCAGAGTCGGCTGCCTTAGGAGCCTTACTAAGGTAATGCATTGAAGCAAAGGCCTCGTAGCCCGGCTCTACCCCTTGCATCTTACAGGCGGCGACATACCTAAGTATGTTCACCCATGAATTGGGGGCAAGCTGCCAAACTCCCAGGCGGTACCTATCCAGGATTCTCTCTACATCCGAATCTAGAGGGAACCTTAAGCTTGCCTGTATAGCTGCCTCGTAGTATCCGAAGCATTTATCTCCATAGCTTTGTTGAAACGGCCAAACTACCTTATCATCCACGTCGGGAACATGAATTTCATGTCCGGCGCCCATAACATGGGCGGCCCGAAAGTCATTTAGCTTCTTGAGCATGTTTCTTTGAGTTCCAGCAGAGACATGGGTGAAATAGGGAGTGAATTCTTCTCGAGCAAGGAAGAAGCCTTCCCTTGTCCTCTTTCAAGAGAGGTGAGCATACTCAGAACTTTCTAGCTTTTCATGGGCCACAGGCGGCTCAGTTCTACCATTAGAACCGCTTGAAACAACATCTGAGTAGGATGACCCTTGTTCTGTACTATTGTCAGACTCATCATCTGACTCGTTTAGAATGGAGTCATCCGGCGTGCTTGTAGTGCTGGGTGGGTGATAAAAAAGCCTCACTTCTTGGCACCATAATAGTGCCGTCGTCTTCATCACCATCTATGGGGCCCTGGCCGTCCTTTTAGTTCTGACCATAGTGTCCTGCATAGATGAGACGATCGGATTCGGGGATGTGTGCAAAGGGGAGTCCAAGTGGGGGCAGGCAACACTCCTAGTCCTAGATTCAGCCGTCCCTGGTGACCGCTGAGAGCTATCCTAGGTCGTGCCGTGTGTGTTTGTGAAACCATTTTGAAAACAAGGAATAACAAACACAGACGGTAATTAAAAACAAGACGAAAGAGAGGGAAAGCAAGCGGTGAAAATGAGGGGGGTGAAAACTATTTATAGAGGGGTAAAAGTTTCAGGATTAATTCTGAAATGGACTCACCTACTCACCTGACACGTGGCATACAAATACTTATCTGGGAATGATGGCTTTCCGGGCCTAATTCCCAAGAAAGCCGCAAAGCAGCGTAACCCACCAAATCTAGGTCAGAATGACCTAGGTTAGGGCGCATTTACCAATGACCCTATAAATAGGGAGATTTACCCCATTTTGGGATGCATTCAATTATTACATCACAATCAATTCTCTTACAATAGAGAAAACACCTGATCTCAGGATCCGAGAAGATCTACTTTTATTTTCCGCACTTTTTACCTTACTTCCGGTTCTAACTTGATTGTCGGAGGCGGAACTCCTACCAACAAGAGCTTCCGTTGTTTTGCAGGTACAGCGATTCAGTCTTGGTGACTTAACTCTCCCGTAGGACAAAAACACCCCGAAACAAAGCTATACTGGACAAAGTCTAGTCTTTTACTCTTATAGTTTTATTGCGGAGAAAACTTTATTGTCTACTATTCTTACTCTTATAGGTAGTGGCGGATAGGGCACCTTACTACTGGAACCCTTTTATCAAGGTTTAATTTTTTTTTTAAAAAGCAAGATATATCTACGTCTCGCATGCAATAAGACATTAAGAAAAAAAAAAGAAAAAAATAGGGACATTAAGCCAAAAAAAAAAAGAAATAAATAAAAAATAATAAGGGCATTAAACAAAAAAATGAAAAAGAGAGGAAAAGAAAATGAATGTTGGGTAAGAGATTAGAACCCATGGCCCTTGGTAGACAAGGTCATGTTTGAACCATTAGACTATTGGTAAGTTTTAACGCTATAATTACACTTTGTATTCTATTTAAATAAATTTTTACTAACTTTTTTTTAATTTTTTTATTTTTAGAATCTGGTAGGGCAGGACACAAAGTGGCTCCGCCACTGCTTATAGTTCTATTGTGGAGAAAACTTTTTTGTCTATTAGGTTTTTACTCACTCTTATTGTCATATTGCGGAGAAAACTTTATTGTCTATTATTAACTACTCTTTTTTTCCTTATAATTTTACTTCATCGTTTAAAATTGTGTTTGTTGCTCTTTAATTTGCTACTCAAAAATTAAATCCAGAATACTACCTTCATTTTTCTATACATACGTAAATTACAATGGTTGGATTATGCATATTTAGTTAAGGTATGTTTGCATCTATTCTTGCAGATTGGGGAGGGAACTTATAGTAGTGTCTACAAGGCTCGGGATCTTATAAATGGCAAGATCGTTGCTTTAAAAAGAGTAAGATTTGATAATCTCGATCAGGAGAGTGTAAAGTTCATGTCAAGAGAAATCCTTATACTACGTAGACTAGATCACCCTAATGTAATTAAATTGGAAGGCCTAATTGCATCTGCTACGTCTAGCAGCTTATATCTTATATTTGAGTACATGGAACATGACCTTACAGGAATCGCATCACTTCCAGGCCTGAAGTTTACAGAGCCACAGGTACCAACATTATAACTGTTTGCTTGTGTACTTGTGTTTTAGAATATATATGTTGAATGTATAATTCCTCATTTAAAATAGGTTTTCTTTGTCAGGTAAAATGTTTTATGCAGCAGCTTCTTTCTGGCCTTGAATATTGTCATAGACATGGTGTATTGCATCGTGACATAAAGGGTTCAAATCTGTTGATTGATGATTGTGGCATCTTGAAAATTGCGGATTTTGGGTTAGCAACTTTCTTCGATCCTTCGAAGAACCTGCCATTGACAAGTCGAGTGGTCACTTTATGGTATCGACCACCTGAACTTTTGCTTGGAGCAACTCATTATGGGGTTTCAGTAGATTTGTGGAGTGCTGGTTGCATTCTTGGAGAATTATATACTGGAAAACCCATTATGCCTGGAAGGACAGAGGTAATATACATGGTGTGTGTGTGTGTGTTTGGGGGGGGGGGAATGCAACTTGTAGAGTTATGTCATGTGGTAATGAAGGGCAAAAGAAACCCACATGAAATGGCAAGTGGTGGCCACTAACGACTCTCGTTCTTATTCCCCTTTGACCTTTTCAATGCAAAATATGCCTTTCTGTTAATCGGTTTGTCTTTACAGATCCACTGCTTGAGAAAGAAATCTAACAATTATTTAACCCACCTATTAATTACTGCATCACTAGTATAGTTTAATGAGTTAGAGCTCTGTGCAAATTCCTGTGGTGAATTATAATCTAAAAATGTATACCGAAAAACCCCACCCCATGAATTGAAAAATGACCAACCTCTGAATTATGATCCTATTCCCATTCTGCATACTTAAGAGATTTATGATGTAGGTAATTCTTAGTAAAGGCAAAAGGAGAGCAAATACAATCAAAAGAATGTGTTTGTTTACTGAAACACTTAATAAGGTGTATGTGGAATTTGATACGGGATGAGATGATTGCTGTAGTGCTGCTTGTACTGGGTAAATGCTTAAAAAGTCCCTGTAACATGTTTGTCATGGTACAGGGATTTTTTTTTAGCAAACTCCAAGCTATTAAAAAAATTATTACTCTTAAACAATTATTTTTCTTTTTATTTTTTGTTTTTTGTTTTGTTTTGTACTTATGCTGCATCAAAGTTGCACTGTGAATGTTCAAATGCCTTAGAAAGAAGATGACAAACAGCTAAAGCATTTATTGTATAAATTTATTGATTAGCTTGTATGTTGTGTTGGAGACTTCTTATAACTAAAGCTTTTCCTTTCGGTAAAAGTATTTCTAAAGGAAGTTTGGATATGTTAATAGGTTGAACAACTGCACAAGATTTTCAAACTTTGTGGTTCTCCACCCGAGGAATTTTGGGAAAAATCAAAGTTACCCCATTCAACAGCTTTCAAACCTCAAAGACCTTATCGAAGACGTGTTGCTGAAAGATTTCAAGACATATCTGCTCCTGCATTGTCTCTTGTCGAGACTTTACTCTCTATAGACCCTGCCTCTCGTGGAACTGCTGCTTTTGCTCTTGAGAGTGAGGTGTGTGAATTGATAGATGAAGTAAATTGAATCCTGGTAAACTCTGGAGATTAGGATCTGGTTTCATGTTTTGATATAATCTCTTTGCAATTATGCTTAAAATTGAATCTGAAGTATCTTAGATTGTGATGATTTGTGAGTGCTCTCAATATTATAAAATTTAATTTTCTGTTATTGAATTTTGTACCCAAATTTTCTTCTGTTTACCAGACATTACAAAACATCCTTGGAATTATCAATAACATGTAGCTGATACCATCCTCAATAACACTAGTTGCTGTAGCATGTTGAACTCATTGTTGTGTATTTGAACGCAATTTTGTCAAAAGATGGTGTTGCTCACTTTGTTTGGTTGACTGTTGGTCTTAAAGTACTTCCTTTGTTTTTTTTAGTTTCATCACTTTTGTAATTGCGAACTCCTAGGCAATTTTTGGAGTAGAGGGAGATAGAGAGAAAAATAAAGAGGGCCTATGTGATAGGAGTGAAATAGGGAGAATTTAGTTACTAAAAGAGAAAGTGATGCATCTAAATTGAAACTTCTATTTTTAGAAAGTGATCATTATTAAAAGGAAGTATTAATTCATCCTCCTTTTGATCAAGTATTTTAGCTTTGCACATAGTTAAACAAAGAGGAGATTGCTTGCAGTGTTCCCCTCCTCCCCCTCCCCCTTCTCTCTCCTCCCATTGTTTCCCTTGTTATGGGTGAAAAAGAGTAAGGGAAGGTTGGTGAGGTTATTGATTATGCTGTTTGAGTGTTCGATATATATGGTCTTTCTCTATTATGGCACAAGACATTGTGATTCTCAAGTTTGTTTGATTGTTAGCGAGGTGAATGGACTCTAGATAAGCCTATAAAGATTAGTGAAAGGCTGTTGAGGTTAAGGGAGAAGCAAGAGTGGATGCACAATATTCTACAAAATCAAATTGGTCTAAGGCGTCAACTCATATATAGATTCTTCTTATTTTTTTCTAAAGGCTGATGTGGCTCTAGAAAAAGATCTGGGATTTTGATTTTTATGAAGATGAGTCTTTGTGAGAAGAAGATTGTTATTCGGAAAAAGGTCTGTTAGAGAAACATTGGAGTAGAGACTCCCATGTCTTGGACTTGCCAATGGTGGATTGTCAATGTCATATTGTTTCATGATGATGTGCCTTGAACTGAATACCAGTGAAGCAATATGAAGTCCTAAACCCCTTGTATGCTAGTCCTAGTGAGGATATTCCTAAGATCTTTCATATCTCCTCTTATTTAATTATTGATTATTCTCTCTCATCACACCAGCATTTGCTACCCTCTCCTCAGAATTAAGGCTTTGTTTCTGTGATTTGCAATTGTCAAATTCCTCAAAGGTGCAAAAATAGGACAGATTCTGTTGTCTTAAACTAAACAGTAGCGGTTATAACAGTACAGGTCCATGTGCATTATATTAGTGTCGAAATGAGCTAGGTACAGCTCCCAAATTGTTTTAGAAAATTTGAAGTGCATTTTCTCTCGAATTGATTTTCATCCTAGACTGTTTACTGTTGAAACACCTTGTCAAAACTTGTAACACTATTATTTCATTTCTCTCGACGTAAAAATTCTTTCTTGTTGATAAAGAACTACTGCCTGTTTTACGCTCTTATTTCATCTTGCTTTGTACTCATATGCCTTGCTTCTACCATGTGAATGTACTTGATTATGTTTGTCTATCTTGCTTTGGATTTTCAAAGAGCACATATCAAATTAGGTAGTTGCTTTTCAGTTGGTGAATTATGTCGTACCTGCTATTATTCTTGATATCATTTGCTGTTTTAATTTGCAGTTTTTTACGTCAAAGCCCCATGCTTGCGATCCTTCAACCTTGCCTAAATATCCCCCTAGCAAAGAGATAGATGCAAGAAGACGTGAGGAAGAAATCAGAAGGTACTTCCATTTTCTGGAGCTCATTATTATTGTATTACTGTCCTCTGTCTGTTATGAGTGTAATCATATTTCCTAATGATCTATATTTGACGAATCACCTGCTCCTTACCATAATGAAAATTTGATGAATGAAGGGGAAATAAAATACGAATTAAGATAGTCTTGTGTTGATATCAAGAGTTAACTGATAGGAAAAATGGTCAACAATTGGGGCAGTAAGCTGATTTGTATTCTGTTATACAGTTATGAGTTTATGACAAACCTCAGTCTTTGAGAACGTTTGGAAAAAGGATTTTGATGTGTGATGGTATTAGTTCTGGAAACCAGAAGTAAATGCATGGTTCCAGATATCCAGACTATTTACCCCTCACAACAGTTAGTAGTTAGTGCTCTAAAGAATTGGTGTCAACCTTTTTTTGAGGGGAAGGAGCTCTGGTATACCATTATTTTATGCAATAAAAAAGTGAAGTATACAGGCTATTACAGACCAATATTTTTTAACAAGCTGCTTAAGTAAGCATTTACAAACAAATGTTTATTAATATTTTTTATAATTTTTTTTTTTTTTTGGGGGGGGGGGTGGGGGGGGGGGGGATGCTGGCTAGGGGCCTTTGAATCACACTAAGATAATGACACAAGTTGATTGTGGAGCAATAATCAAATCTGATTAAAAATTATTAAAATTTGCTTACAACCCAAAGTATTAGATATATGTCCTTATCTGGCGTTAAAGAACATACGTCAAGTGAAATTTTAAAATCTAAATTGAACTTAAGAAGAGAATATAGAAAACATAATTTTGGAAGGGACAGATCACTTCTTAATAACTTAAATACCCAGTCAAATTTGTTATGATTCCCTTGTCTTTATAGAACTACGTACAAGAAAAATTAGAAAATAGAAAACTAAAATCTTAAAGATATTTTATAAAATATCAAACATTAAGTCATATATATATATATATATATATATATATATATATATATATATACGGGGAGGTTCCGCTGAAAATAGGGCTTATGGTGAAAACAGGAAACAGAGGTCACTATATACAAAAATAGGGTAATTATATCAATTTTTACAACATTTACATTAAGGTCACTATGTACAAAAATAAGGTAACTATATCGACTGAGTTTTTGACACCATTTACATAAAGGTTACAATATACAAAAATAAAGGTCACTATATATAAAAATACGGTGACTGAAAAAAAATTTACAACATTTCCATGATTCTAAGGTCATTATATACGAAAATAAGGTAACTATATATAAATTTCGGGTAATTATATCAATTTGACACCATTTACCCATAGGTCACTAAATATAAAAATAAAGGGTATTAAAAAAAGTCTATGTAGGATTCGAACCTACATCCCGTGATTACACGGTGTTCGACCAATTGAGCTAATAGGCTTTGAACGTGCCAAAAACGTAGAGGCTTAAAACCAGCACAAATTTTAAATTTATGTTTGAGATTTTACAATAACCTTCCGCACACAAAAAAAAAAAAAATGTTGTATGTAGAATTGACAAAAGATGACTTGCGTATCGGGTTGATTAATAGGATTAATTTCTAAGGAGTTTCTTCTTTGTGAATTCTAACAACTAACAATCTAGAAATGTCAATGTCCAAATCAATGAAACATATAAATGAATCACACATTGTTATATAGTACAATATCATGTACAGTCAATTTCACTCCATTTCTAATTCTAAATTCAACAAACCGGCCATGAATAAACGAATAATGAGCTGCATCATACCTGCTACATCCCTGGTAGATAGCAAGGTCATCAATGGCACTCAAAGCAACATCCACAGTAAGACAAAGCAGAGCAGTCGATACAGCTTTTCGGCCCAATGATCTGCTCTTTTCTTCATTAATTGGCTTTGAAGCACTATAACAAGGCCAATCAAAAGAATAATGAGCTGCATCATACCTGCTACATCCCTGGTAGATAGCAAGGTCATCAATGGCACTCAAAGCAACATCCACAGTAAGACAAAGCAGAGCAGTCGATACAGCTTTTCGGCCCAATGATCTGCTCTTTTCTTCATTAATTGGCTTTGAAGCACTATAACAAGGCCAATCAAAAGAATTAACACATACATTTGACAACAAAAATTAAACAACTTCAAAGATTATAACAAAAAAAAAAAGCCAATTTGCAGCACAAATCAAAATAGGCAAGAAGAAAGCACATCAAAATGAAGAAGAAAGCACAAAAATTTGAGCTAAAACACTAATAATTATCAAATGGGTATTCTTTATTAAAGATAGTTTTCAATTAATTAATCATACAACCTGAGAAACTAGAGCTTAGAATTCAATAAACAGAGAGGCAATAGAATATGAAGTTATATAAGCATAGAAAAGAATGAACGTTGTTATATGATTGAAACCACCACCACCAACACCACCAAAACCCCAAACCCAGACTAACACAACCACCGACACCCACCAAAAATACCGAATCCACCCACAAAACCAGCGAAACCACCCACAAACCCACCGAAAATCACCGAAACCATCAACACCACCAAAACCCCCAAACCTAGACCACCACCACCACCGAAATCCCCAAAAATAAATCGAAAAAATCATAGGGTAAAATAAATTTAACACAATTGAGCAAAAACTGATTAATTTAAGCTTAAATAATCGAAATCAAACTAATAAAACTTAGCACAAAAAATCTAACACAACTGAAGAAGTTAAGCTGTAAAATCGAACAAAAAGCGAAAACTAAAGCCGAAAAATCGAACCATAATTGAAGAAATTAAACCGAAAAAATTAAAATAATAAAATAAATTGAACATATACATTTAAACAATCGAAGAAATTGATGATAAAATTGATAAACTTACCAATTTGATGATAAAATTTCCATCAAAAACATGAAGAGAGAGAGAGAAAATTGCTTGAAATTTTAGAGAGAGAAGATGCGTGAAGGAGAAACTGAGAAAGAAGTAAGGGAGTGTATGTCTAATACACGAAATTAATCACCTCCGTCAGATTAGAATTAATGGTCTAGATTGCTTGTTTTTAGTTTTCAGCCTTAGACTAGTTTTCACATGATCCATTCCCTATATATAATATATTGTTGGAAGATAAGTCTGCGACTGATATGTTCCTTGTTAGACTCCTTAATATACCCAAAGTAAGAAGAAAGTTGTGAACTCTTTTGAAAACATTGTTAAAATGCATTTCACTAAATCTAAAACTTTTCAAAATTTTTGATGAGAAACACTTAGATTAGGCAACAGAATACGTTACTGTGTTGATTTGGCTAGCTTTAAATTCATAAGGCCATAACTTCATCCTTATAATATACTACTCCGTTACTATTTAGTTGCAACAAAGAGGTATTTTTTATGAGATATAAAAAATTCCTTACTAACAAGTAACAGAGGTAGTAAAAGTTATTGATTACTCGTTGGAAAAGCTTGTGAATTCTACTTTGACCTTCAAGAAAAATCCGGATAGAGTATTATAGAAAAAAAAAGTGATTCCCTGTGCATTCACACTATTTACAAGTAATGCACAGCATGCACTAGCCCACCTGTGTGTGACAAGCTGTTCCTTTGGAAGAGTAACTTCCTTTCAAGAATATCTGTATTGGTTTTGTTGTGTCAGTTCCATGCAGTTGCCCCCAAATCATTATAATAGCATTAAATTTAACCTAATTAGGATTTTTTTGGCGGTTGGGCATGACCAGTTGTTAATTTAGTATTCTGATTAAAAAAAAAAAAAAAGAAAAAAAAAGTTGATCCACAAAACGCAAATTTCTAATTTACTTACAATTTCAATTATTAGACTAAGATTGAGTACTTGTAATGTAGGTATTGCCATGGTTAATTACTTGTCATTTTGTATTTTTCTAAGGAAGCAATTATATTACTCCCTTCTTCTGAGTTTCAAATTTGTATTTTGCATGAAGAAGTATTGGATAGACAGAATAAAAAAGTAGGAGAAATTGTGGAGATAAAGAAAGAATATGTATTGTAGGAGAAATTGTGGAGAAAAAGTTTAGAATTTAAAAGCTTGCTTGAAACACAAATTTGAAGTTTATCTTGCACATCACAAAATATGTAGAGTTAAGTGAAAAGTGCGTGAGATGATTTAAAATATTCCCCATTGAAAAAATAAGGTATTCTAGCCTTTCTTTTTTGATTTGTTTCAAACTTCTTGTTACTCTATTATGTCAATGAAACCTTAAATGTCAATGTAAGATTAGCCATTTAAACCATTAATGCAACATCTACGTCATTTTACATTATTTATTTGGGGAAAAACTCTATGGCAGCCCTATACTTTTGCTTTCTTTTTTTTATTTTTTTTCCTTTTTTTTTCATTGGTATAAATTTTTTTTTTTTTTAATTGATTATTAATGGTAGCCTTAAACTTTTATAATTTATTAAATTTGGCTTTAATGATGTATTTTTAGTTAGCAACTAATTATTAGCCCAAAGGTCATTGTAATATGAGGTTAGAATTGTTGTCAAGTATTTGTACTTTTAATGCGTTAGATATTAGAATTGTTGTCAATAATGTTATAAGATTAAACATAGTGGTCAGATTTTACAAGAAGAACAACAATAACAAAACCAAGTGATACCATGAACCAAACTTTTGAGATCTATGGATAATTAAAAAATAAGACATAGCATGTATATGTAATGGAAAATAAAGACAGATATTAGTGCATTCAGATTAATTATTGCTTAAAATTTTGTTGTTTTTATTTATTGAATTTAAGTCTCTTACATATAGAATACAAGATAATAGTTATTAGGGTGAATGAATGGATATAAAATAATATAGCTTAGATGTTAAGCTATATATATTATTAGTGAAAGGTTTGAAGTTCAAATCTTGGTAAACATTTGAATAGAATGAGAAAGTTATTGCAGATTGAAGATTAATATAAGACTTGCACTTGCCATGTCATTGCTCATGTGGCACCAGATCATGTTGAAGGAAGGATGACACA